TTTTACACCAATAATTATAATTCTTAATTTGATAGTTGAATAGATTGAGAATTTACCTCAAGTTTTTTGAAATATTTTTTTATTTTGAGTTTTTGTTTTTTTATTCCTTTTAACATTTAAACTTCTTATATGTCATGTTTTTTTTAAAAAAAAAACTTGGGACACAAGGATATTCAACAACAATGGTGCAATAAATACTAGATTTTCTTGACTTGTGGAGCCTTCGTATGGTGAAACACTAGACTGAAAGCCTTCCTTTTCAGGTTCTTGAATGAATTAAAAATTGACTTATCAAATAATTATTATTATTGTGATATCATTTCTTATACTTCTTATCTATGATTCATTATAATTATTAAATAAATATTTTATTTTAATAGTTTTGGTTTCTTAGTTAAAGCATGTCTAGTTTGTCTTTAGATCTTATTTTTAACTTTTTTGGATTTATATCATTTTTTTTTATGGGATACATGATTGCCTGATCATGTTTCACATCACTACAAAAAATTCCGTTATTTCCCTACCAATCAATATTTAAAGTTAGAAGGTAAAGGTCGGCAGGAAATTAGTGTGCTCGTATTCATATCCCGTGGAGGTAACTATGTACAAAATTTATGTCTTGCGACAATAATTAATAAGCCTCCTGTCACTAACTTTTGCAATCTGATGTATATAGGACCTGAAGTTAGAAGTTAAGGCATATCATTTTTTTTTTCAATCGAAGGTGAAGCTCAAGAATACAAAGCGATGGAGTTCAAGGAGGAGGAAGAAGAGGTAACAGAGCCAGTGAGCCCAACTGGACAGTACTTCAACAGCTCAGTCCTTTCTATATGTATTCTTGCTGTTTTGGAATCAGAAGTTCCAATTGATGACTCACATACCATGACATTGCTCAAGGATGTGTTCCTTCCTATAAATCCTCGTTTCTCTTCAATCATGGTATTTATAGTTCTCTGTCCCAAAATCTTACTCTCTTCACAAAATTGTGGAATCCTGGTTTTCTAGCAATCGACATTTTAGTGAGAACATTGCTGGACTATCTGCTTCTTTGCCTTTTTTGTCAAGTTCCTTTCTTCTTTGTCTTAGATCTTGGAAAAGTATGTGTTATTCTTGTTGGTTTTTTCGTTTGTGGAAAAACGTAGCTATTCAAACTACTTTCCTGTCTTCATTTCCCTGACAATTTTAGATGTTATATTGAAATGGAAACTCAGTATAGAAAAAATGATTTCTCTCTTCTTCCATTTTCACAACACAAGCTTTACTTTCATTAAGAAATTTGCCTCTTTAAGTAACTTGCATGATTAATAAATTCAACTTTCTTCTGGAAAACAGGTTAATGATAAAAATGGTGTAAAACAATGGAAGAGAGTTGAGGTGCAGCTCCAAAACCATGTTAGCATTCCAATCTTTCCAATTGGATTGTCAACAACTTCTTATGACAGCTACTTCAATGACTACATATCAAGATTAGCACTGAAGCAATTTCCACAAAGCCAGCCTTTATGGGAAATTCATGTTGTGAAATATCCCACCAGCAAAGCAGCTGGAAATATCATTTTCAAGCTTCACCATGCACTTGGAGATGGCTTTTCTCTCATGGGAGCTCTCCTTTCTTGTCTACAAAGAGCCGATAATCCTTCTCTTTCTTTAACATTTCCTTCACTTCAATTTCCTTCATATCCAGACTGCAGCTTTAGTAAGTTGAATATCACTGTACCGAAATGTATTAGTTCGATCTTTAACACTATCTCTGATTTCGGATGGAGCCTTCTGAAGAGTAGCTTTGTTGAAGATTCTCGCTCACCTATACGATCTGGGGATGAAGAAGTCCAATTTAAGCCAATTGTGATTTCAACAATTGCATTCTCTCTCGATCACATCAAACAAATTAAGTCCACGCTTGGAGTGGTAAGTTGAACCAATGTCTCTTTCCTTGCACAATTCTTGATTTATTTAATTGCAAAAATAAATGAAAAAAAATCATAAACAATAACTAAAATTAAAATTAAAAAAATCAAGAGATAAATATAAATCAAGGTATTTAATCTTGAAGGACATAACATTTACTAGTTAGTCTAGTTGTATTCAAAGACTCAAGGTCTGATTTTGGTAAGAAAAAATTTGGAACAAAAAGATTGAACATTAGCCACATAGAATAAGATCTTGGAAAGCAGATTTGGTTGCATAATGTTCTTGGTGCCTGTATGAATTGTCTCTAGATTTTCACAACAATTTCAAGAACAAGAAATCAGAAATATGTTGCAGAAGCTGTATGTTAACATTCAAATTTTTTTTGTTCTTTTCGGCAGACGATAAACGATGTGATTACTGGCATAATTTTCTACGGAACACGATTATATATGCAACGTGTTGATGATAAATCAACCAATGCAAATTCCACAGCTTTGGTGTTGCTTAATACTAGAGTCATTAGTGGGTATAGATCAGTAAAGGAAATGTTCGAGCCTGATGCTGAGTCACCATGGGGGAACCAGTTCGGATTCCTGCACGTTTCGGTACCTGAATTAACTGATTCCAGGTTTTCTAACCCTCTTGAATGCGTCACAATAGCGCAGGAAATCATCCAGAGGAAGAGAAGTTCTCTTGCTGTTAACCTCACTGGTAGGCTCCTGGAGGTTCTGAGGAAGTTTAGAGGCCCTGAGGTATGAGCTTGACATCAAACACATGCATTTACTTACTCTGCTGTTGCTTCTTAGAGACATGAATTGTTTCAACTTGTCCTTATTTGTTAAAACTCTGATATCACGTAAAATAACAGTTTTAATTCAAAGCTTAAGCCAGTAAATAAAAAATCTTATGAAAGATTTTATGATACTTTTTAACCCTCATAAAAGACATTAATGCTAAAGCAAGAACTCGTATCCTTTTAGTAACATGGTTGTTGGAAAATAAATGATCAAGATCTTCTTCTTTTTTCGTTTGAATATAGCTTGATTTGAAGAACAATGAGTGTGTAACTTTGCAGGCAACGGCCAAGCACATCAAAAAAACACTATTCAACTCAAGCATGACAATCTCAAATATCATTGGCCCTGTTGACAAAATGGCTTTGGCTAATCATCCAATTAAAGGCTTCTATTTTATGGTAGTTGGTGTGCCCCAGGTACATATTTGCTTATATTTTTCCTTTTTGTTAATTTAATCATAACATTATGTTCATCGAGCACTACTAATTAATTTTATGGAACAGTTCTTAATCGATTTTCGAGAATTTTAATCATTGGATTTATGGGTTCCATAAACGATTTTATTTATTCAGTGCATGAGGTTTTTTGAGAAGTGATTTTGGAAAGAATACTCAGTAAAATTAGCATTGCTGAGCTCTTCATGTTCATTTACAGCTACTTACTAATTTCTATTTGAATGGTAATGCAGAGTCTTACCATAACAATGGTAAGCTATGCAGGAAAGCTAAGAGTAGCTGTGGGAACAGAGAAAGGATTTATGGATTCTCAAAAATTCAAGTCCTGCTTGGAGACAGCCTTTGAAATGATATCGAAGTCCTCATGTGGGATACCTTCAGGGATCATATAATTTGAAGGGTCGAAATAAATCTGCCATGAGAATCTTCTTTTGCCTCCTTTTTCAGCCAAAACATAAAGTCTTGTTCCAAATCTTATTCATCATCTACAGAAGAGGATTTGTGAGGCATTATTACCAGATATACTGAATTATTACATACATTTCTGTTGGATATTGAATAACAATGTTATATGCAATATTGCAGTTATTTTGCTCTCTAGAATATACAAATAAGAAATATATTTCTTTCTTATGTATACTATACTAAAACTCCAAGGTCAAACACTACAACATTTTATACTTTTGTGCGAGAAAGGGACTTGCCAAGCACATGATCGTTACTTGAAAAAACATAGAGATGATGAGCAATTTTTTTAGAAGAGCCATGCCAATCCTTTCGGAGGACAGGGAACAGACAGCCAATCTCATGTCAACTCAAATTTCACACAAAAAAGATAAGAAAAGAAAAGCTTTCCAATAAAAAAATAAAATGACTTGAAGGTGATATGCTTTGACCGTAAGAAGCATGGGTTAAAATGCCAGGATTTTTTTTCAAATTTGACCATTATTTCGGATACGACTTAAGCTATAATTCAACACAAGATCTATTTAAGATTCTCACTTAACAGAAAAATATATATATTAATAAATAAGATATACTTGGTAATTATATTTTATAAAATGACAATTATTTTTATTTAATAAAAAGCTCCAAATACGAAATAAAAATTGTTCAATGCCTTACTTATTAGACAAGCATAAAAAATAATAAAAAAATATTTTAAATACTATATCTATAGTTGTATCAAATGTCTCATTATATATCTTAAGCCAGCTCTGATTTCTTCTTCTGGTATGCCACCCAAGCTTATCTATTGCTTCACCATCTCATGTATCTAAGAGAATGCCGCCATTAATTTGTAACCTCAGGGCAGTGGCTACCAAAATGGGATTTCCCTATCCTAAATCAACCTCATAAAATTGAAATCTGCAGCAACTACTGAAGATAAAATGTGCTCCACTTGTACATGATCTTTTGCACTGCTCGACAATTTTTTTTATAATTATTGAAAATATATTAAAATAAAAAAACTATAAAATTAATAACCGAAGTAAAATACAAGGGCATGATTAAGGGAAAAAAAAAAGACATGGAGAAAAAATAATTAGTCTGCTATAACAGGAACAAAAAGACAAGAAGATTTAAGCGAATAGATTCTTTAATAAATCTAATAAATTTAGTTTTTTAATCATATTTATATAATGAAAAGAACTACTTTTACTGCGTAATATAATGAACAATGAGCTTTAAAAAAAGGCCACATGTATAAGGATTGGAACTAAAACATAGATGGAGGGGTCATGGCATCCCAAATATCGAAAAATTCTTCATAAAAGATTTAAGACTTTTCATCTTAATTGATAGGGAACAATTAATGGGTGGCAGTACATATAGATTGTAAACACCAAAGAATTATTTCCTTTGCAGTGAAATTTAATTAAACAAAGGCCCCCATGTGCCTACTAGTACACGCTCAAACCTTGACAATCAATCCCTTAAATAGGAGAGGACCGAGAACAAACCACTAGGCTTAATAAGCAAGAGTATGTCCTTGTTATTAATTCTTAAGGTTCCTTTATTATACACATGAAACATCCAAATTTTTCATTAAAAAAAGGGTGAAAAAAAGGGCATCCGACATAAAAGCTCATATGGCTGGAATGAAAGAAGCATAGGCTAAGATGTCTGGATTTTGTTCAAACTTGACCATTTCTTCGTTGGGTAATGCAATCCTTACTTCCATTCCCTCACCATCCCTTGTATCCAATAGCATGACCCAGTTGGGTGAAAGCCTCAAAGAAGTGCCTACCCAAATGGGCTTTCCCCATCCAAAATCAACCTCGTAAAATCGAAATTTACACCAACTACTGAAACCAATTACACCCCTAAAGTTATCAGGATCTTGTGCCTTCTCCGCCATTCTTTGTCTCATTAAACTGAAGAAGGTGCCGTCTGCGTAAACCTGCCTCACATAGTCACTGTTTATCATGCTTATTGACTCATGAATTTTTCCAGCTAAACCATTATAGTCCACCACTTTATTTTCCCAATTTGCCACAGCCAAATGGACTATATTTCCAATACAATGTTGTGGTAGGGGTGGATCCATTCTTTTCCGCAAATCCACGGCAATTGTTGCGGGTTTATTTACCTTTTTAGACTCACTATCTTCTCCAACAACACCCCAAATAAGGGCAGATACAGCCTCGAACCGGGTTGGACGATTCAAATATGGCCCGTTGCACAACTTTCCTCTTAGCGCAGCTAGCTTAGGACCCTCAAACACGAATCTTTTCGTAGATATATTGAATGAACTACGAGGTATAGGATTGTATAAGAATGAGATGCCTGACAAATCTTGCGGAGGGAAGAGTGAGGAGCAATCAACAACCGTTCCTGCACTATTATCATAAATACCACAACAAATTGCACTCCAGCATTTAACAAAACTTGCCACTGAGGATGCATCACCTATTCGATGGCGAATGCGAACACTGATTGCCATCCCACCACAATCAAAATAATTCACTTGGGCTGCTAGCATTCCCTTGCCGCTGGGCTCATCAACGTTTTCGTCAGGCTTGCATGACTGTAGCTGTTCCAATTGATCCATGTCTGGCTGTTGAAGTATCATGGACATGTTGCCTGCTACATGGGCTTCAATATAACTGGCTCCATCATCATTGCAATCAATGGATGAAGCATCTTTTATTCGTCCAGCAAAAGGGTAGAAGAGTGTTAGCGTTTTAGCGAAGGATTTCTTTAGATAATCAGAGGTTTTGCTGGAAATTTCATCTGTTGGGGAATAAAAAAGAATGATAGGGATATCCGCTGCAAAAGCAGCAAGCTGGTCGACAGCTGAGAGCTTATAGGTTTTTAGGTGGTGAGGTGTTGGAGCAGAGGGCTTGATGATTTCCTTAGAAATAATTTGAATTTCCATGTTGTTCCCTTCCTAATTCGAAAGAAAAGTGGTAGTTGAAGATAACTCAGTGATTTGATTCATTACAGAACATCCAACATGAGATTTATAGAGGGAGGAATATCCCGTCACAAGAATAACTAATGCATATTTTAAAACTGAATTTTCCGTCACAAGCATAATTAATGCGTATTTTAAAACCCAAGCATAATTAATGCATATTTTAAAACCTTTTTTTTTTTTTGATTGAAATCCTAATCATACCTATTCATATTCAAATAAAATGTTGACATATTCTAATGGAATCGTTGACAGAAAGAAAAGTGGAGCAAAACAAATCTTTGAACAACCAAAAAAGTACAACAAGATCTTTTACCGAACAGTAACCGATAGTTTAAAATTATGAAAATAAGCCTGAGAAATAATTTTTTTAATTCAATTAAAAAAAAGTAAATTTCAAGAAAATGTATTATTTTTTAATATTTATTAATGTAATAAAAAATAAATTAAAAAATATTTTTCAGTATTTTGTTATGAAAAGAAGTTGGAAAATAATTCATTAATACTTCATTTTTTAAATTTATTAAAATAATAAATAACAAATCTTACAAATTTAAAAGTTAAATAAAAATAAAATTTAATAAATTATCTTAAATAAAATAAATAATAATAAAGATCAAATATATCAAATTAAAAAATTAAAAGATGAAAAAATAAAAATAATTACCATTTTATAAATTATTTTAAATAAAATAAATAATAATTAAAAAAAATAAGAACCAAATTTGATGGATAAAAATTTTTAATTAAAAATGATAAGGAAAAATAAAATATTAATTATAAAAATAAAGATTAAAGTTAATATAAAAATCAAATTCTAAAGGATAAAATTAAAAACTATATTTAAAACAAAATAAATATAGTAATTAAAAGTTTGAGGAATAAATTTGATATAATCAGAAAATAATATGATATTTATAAATTTTTCATAATTTCTAGGAGTGTTTTCTACCCAAAATCAAAGAAAAATACTTTTTTAGAAATCAAATTAAATTTTTTTGAACTTTTTAATATCTAATTTGTTTAATAATAAATAAATAAATAATTTTTAAAAAATAATTTTTAAAAAATCAGTGAGAATTTAATTTTTAATCTTAATTCAGTGAAGGGATCTTAAAAGAGAGAATTAATATAAAGATAAAAATTAATTGAAGCCAACAACTAATCATTAACTTTTGAAAAACAACCAAAAAGAGCTGTCATTGTAGACTACTGATCTCCAATTACTTGCTTCGGAAGCATTGAATTAATAAATATTAAAGGATATGGCTAAATTAATCTATTTATATTTATAAAATATTATTTTTTAAAATAATTTTTTATATTTATTTATTTATTTTTAATTTTAATTTTACTCTTCAATAATATATTTTTTTAATTTTTTAATTTTTTATTTTATTTTTCAATATTAAATTATTTTTTAAAATTGTACTGGGTAACTTTTTTTTATTATTTTTAAAAATTGTACTGGGTAACTTTTTTTTATTAGGTTATATATTGATTTTTTAAATTTAATTTTTATTTTTTTGATTTTATATTTAATATTAGATTTGTTGAAAAAGAAAATATGATTTCTATGAACTTATCCTTATTTTATAACTCATATCTTGAGTTTAATAAGTTAATATAATTTAACTTGAGTTAATTTTTTATATTTGTTTTTTTAATTAATTATTTTCCTCAATTCTATTCTTTAAAATTGAGATTAGGAAGTTGACTCATGTTGACTTTCTTTATTTTTGGGTTTTTTAAATTAAATATTTTTTAATTAAACTTTATAATTTTTTGTAATTTATTATTATAGGATTTTCCTAAACTCGTGACATAAATTATAAATTTAGTAGGTTGATTTAAGTTAACTCAATTCAAATTTTAAGCCATGTTTTAATTGAATTTTTTTTTAAATTATTTCTTCCACACAATCTTCATTTTACATTTTTTTTTATTTTATCTTTTAATATAAGATTTTTTGGGTTTCATTAATTTTTCAATTTGTTTTTTATAGAGTTATTTTGATCTCATGAATTTAGCTTGTTTTTTTTCAATTTCAACTTTTAAGATTGAATTTGTTGAAAATAGAGTTTCATAATTTATTTATTTATTTAGTTTTTTATAAGAAGTTATTTTAATTTTATAACCCATGTTATTATTTAACATGTTAGCTTGAGTTGACTTAAATTATTTTTTTAAGATCTTTTATTTTAATTAATTATTTAATATTGGATTGGTTGGAAATTGAATTTTATAATTTTTTTTATAACTATTATAATATCATGACTTGAGTCATAGATTTAATAAATTAACTTAAATTAATTTGAATTTGACTGATTACAAGACATCCAACATTTAATTTATATATTGAGAGAATTTTGCATAACAAGCCTAATGTATATTTTAGAAGGAAAACATCTTACATCTTATAGGTGTTTTTTCTTTAAGTAGGTTTAGGTGGTCACACAACAAACTCTTTCAATTTGAGGTTTTGTATTGTTGATATACTGGAGAGGAAATATGCGCATTCAATTAGCTTTACTCATAGAAGTATATATCGAGCGAATCCGATCAAATAATCGTCTCATTCCATTTGAAGTGCAGTCCAGAATAGCGAAGAAATGCAAAACGAATCTGTTGATAATGAAACAACAGACCATCCATATTGGAACTTAGCAAGTCTATAGAACATATACTTAGAAGATAAATAATTAAAATAACACCAAAGAACCACAGAAACAAGAGAACCAAAAGCTATGAGCCAGCATCCAAGAAAGAGTGCATAACCAAGACGCTACAGAAACAGAGGATGAAGCACCTTCTTATTGTGTTTTTTAATATATTTTAAGCTTATTTGAGTTCATTAAAAGTAATTTTATGAGTTTAACATACCTAAAAAATTTGGTGAAATAATTGCTAAAAAGTAAAATATATATATATATTTCAAACTTTGATTCTTTTGACAAGTTTTTCATCGGGTTGGAGTTACAGAATCTAAAACTGTGATTCTTTTGACCAGTTTTTCATCGGGTTGGAGTTACAGAATCTAAACATGGGCTTGCTTAATCTAAGCTGAAGGACACAGCATTATGAACCTCTAAATAGATATTTAAAAAGCAGGTCAGAATCTTATATACAACAAAATTCTTTATTTTCATACTAAATATTAAAATAGGCATATCTTAAACTTTATATATTAAAATTAATTAAAATTAAGTGATTTAAAATTCTAATTTCATCTACGCATTTGGGCTACAATTTTTATAAAGAGCTCCAGGTAGAAAAAATTATCTTAAATAAGAAAATCCTGATATAAGCTAAAAGTGGACATGATTTGGGAACGTCTTGGCTTTTGGAATTTTCCTGAAGGACTTCTTTAGCCTTAATAAACTATCTTAGATTATTATTTAAAAAAAACTTAATGAGGACGATTAGTTTTGTTTTATACGCGATGAATAAAAATATCCTTACAACATTTATATTAATTATAATAATAATGATAGTTTAAAGTATTTTTTGTTTAGAAATATATTAAAATAAAAAAAAATTATTTTTAATATCAACATACCAAAACGATATGAAAATATAAAAAATTTATTTTAAATAAAAAAATTAAAATTTAAAAAAAATATAATTTACACCGTATTCCAAAACATATTTTAGAAGTTTATCATCTTGTACATGTACACATTAAAGGCAATTAAAAAAGAGTTAAATGGATTTTAGCAAAGAAACATAAGATATAATTTATATATAATTAACTCTGCAAATATTTGACCTTGATGAAACCAGCTAGCTTCAATAACCATTAATTATAATTCAAAAGATCAGTAAATAAAGAGTTTTATTTTCGAAAACGAAATTGTTCTATGATTTGATTCCCTCTCAATTCTTTTGCTGAATTTCACACGCAACAGATTTGAATATCATCTGGAAAGCTTTTCTATGCACGACTTCAACTTTTGGGCATCTAGAAAGCCCTTCTCAGCTCCCACTGTAACCCTTAGGTTATCCACGTAGCTTACAATTGTTATGTTAAGTCTCTGCAACCCCATCAACACATGTTATATACTGTTTTGTTGAAACTTGATAAGTGATTAATTAAATTTGAGAAGTGATTGTAACATACCTGAGGATTGCCAGCAACGGCAAAGTACATGCCTTTGATTGGATGATTAGCCAAAGACATCTTTTCCACTGGTCCAATCATATTTGTTATTGTCATGCTTGCGTTCACCATTGTTTTATGAATGTATTGGGCTGCTACCTGAGACACATGATTGATTAATTGATATCATATCATTTTAGCAAGCATGCCTTAAATCAATAATTTAAAAAAAAGATATATTTTTAAGTTTTTTTAACAGTAATCGAGATGCATTATTAAATCAGTATTATTAAGGGATGTCAACTGAGAAAAACTTACAACAAAAAAACAAAAGCTAAACATGTCTATTAGAAAACAATAAACACTATTAAAATATCTTATCAAGTCATTGTCTTTATAAGTAAAACTGAGAGTACTCCCTTTAATATATTGAGCAAGACGGTGGAAAGTAAAATCAAAGTAGAATCGTAATGAATTTTTAAGTTATTACTACATCATGCATTTTAGGAGAATGAAAAGAATAAAAAATTGAAGTCTCAAAAGGTGTATTTGTGTAACGTTACCCTGCTACATAATTGTTATTATTATATATCTTTTTTTTTACGTGGGGTGTCCGGGCCAGCTTACGCGCACTACGACTAATCCATACGGCCCACTGAACATCCTGCAAGCCCAGTGAGCAGGTAAGGCACCGCGGGGGTGACAGGCGTGCATGGTGAGGTTCGAATCCAGGTGCGGAGGAAAGGGACAAACCCCTCCTATATATTATTATATATCTTTAATGACATGTAACAATAATTACATTTAATTGTGATATTTATTTACGGACAAGAGATGTAACAATAGTGCTAATTTTAGAGGCATTAATTTAGTATAAATGATTTTAGATCTAATTAATATCTATAAATATCCAAAATTGATATTATTTTAACTCCATATATGCAATTACTTTAAATTTCATCA